GAGAGAGAGAGAGAGAGAGAGAGAGAGAGAGAGAGAGAGAGAGGGAGAAAGAGGGGGAGAAAGAGAAAGATGGGGGAGAGACAGAGAGAGAGAGAGAGAGCGCGCGAGCGAGAGCCATAGGAGAGATAAAGAGAAGGAGAGAAAGAGAGAGAGAGAGAGACAAAACTAAAACGATAAAATATATTAATACTCAGTTATTTCATATAGTTCATAAGAGAAACCTTGCTCTCGGTGCGCGTAATATAAGATGACGGGTAAAGCTCCGTTGACCGTTGAGTTAGCTCTCTCCTGATGCCTGGACCCGGTTCCACAGACGTGGATTAACTTTTAGCCCTGTGTTAAATTTAACTCTGAGTTAAACTATTAACTCTGAGTTAGTAAACTCCGAGTTAATTTTGGGTTTTATAAAGATTAAATCCTGAGTTAAGTAACTAAGAGTTAAAGTTAATCACGGAATTTAAATCCGAGTTAACTTTTAACTCAGAGTTAAGGATCCGGGTCCTGGGTGTAAGAGGGCCGTAGCTAGGCTGACACAAACGTCACCAAGAACGTGTAAAATCACTCGAAATGTTTTCAAATAAACCAAACATGTATTATATTATATAACACCGCCCGCGTAACTTCTTTCAATTATTCTTCGATTAATGTATTCTTCGTTTCATTCGGAATGCTTCCGCGGAGCTAGAGACTAATAGAGACTAATAGAGACTAACAGAGACTAATAGTGATTGTAATCGCATTACCGTGTAAATACAGTGAATTATATATTATAGTGACCTTCTCTATATTTTAAATCGTGTGACGTGACCGCACGACGGCTATCCTGCATATTTCACAAATTTTAAATCCATGAGCCTAAATTAACGCAAAGATCTCTATTTAGTATTCTACATCTATTATTATAGGATATCTGATTTTGTCCTGAGAACAATATATGCATATATGGATATGCATAATATTTTTATACATATATATAATATATATATATATATATATATATATATATATATATATATATAATAAGTACTATATATATATACTATATACTATATACTAAGTAGTAGTAGATTANCTCTCTCTCCCTCCTCTCTCTCCCCCACCCTCCTCTCCCCCACCCTCCCTCCCCTCCCCCCTTTCTCTCCCGCTTCCCCCTCACAGTGGCCCGTGAAGCAAGCCGTCTACGTGATGTACCGCAGCGCCACCGCTGTCTGGTTCGTCGGCAGCACCGTCGTCAGCGGCCTGGCGACGAAGCACGAACAGGAAGCGTACGCCGACGACACGTGGAAGTGGGGAATCTTCCTCACGAACTGGGGCTTCCTTCTACTCACGCTCTACACTATCTGTGCTCTGCTCGTCTCTGTGGTCCATTGGAAGCAAGGTAGGCGCGCGGATGTAGGCGGGCCAAGCGGGACGTGGCGTGGCTTCCCACAGTATAGTGATGTATTAATTAGTATTAGTAATTAACGTGTTAGTATTAGTAATTAAGGTGTTAATATTAGTAATTAAGGTGTTACTGTTAATATGGATTATTTATTACGTGTTATTTATCTGAATTTTTTTTACCCCGCTGCTGTCGGTCTAGCCCTAGATTGTGTGTGTGTGTGTGTGTGTGTGCGTGTGTGTGTGTGTGTGTGTGTG